TAAGTGAAACCGCAATCGAAACCAAAACTTTTTGCGATGCAGTTCGATGCGGTTTGTGAACCAAAACCGAAATGAAACCAAACCGTTTAGTTTGGTTCGGTGCGGTTTCAAACGGTTTTGGTTTGGTTTTTGAGAAAAAATATACATTTTAAAATTTACACCTTTACATGTTAATCACTGACATGGTATAATACCAAAAAAATTGTATGTAAATTTGCACCAAAAAAATTACATGTTAATTACACCATTGGTCAAGAATTTGACTCCATTCCACAAAGAGACTCCATTTCTGAATAATCGAAAAACTTAGAAGTCAAAGGCTAGACGAGTACGTGCACAACACAACCATGGGAAGCCTGTTCTCGTTCACAATCTTCGCCAAGCGAAGCGTTTTGACTGCAGAATGCAGTTGTTTACCTTTTCCATGAACTCTATATTTACCACCCCCTCTAAACCATGTATCATCAAATTCATCATAGCAAGAACAATCAACAAAATAAATGATCATGAGATTCTGGAAAAGCTTGACACAAAACATACCATCTGCTATAGCCTATAGAGAGTAAGGAGGATTTCGTCAAGAATTCACATCTTACCTTTGATAGCAGACCAGAGGTTGAAGCTCATCCTTGGAACATTGTTGCTAACCACGCCATATCATTTTCCTAAAGAAATGCATGATAGCTCTTCCTCTTCGAAAGGCTGCATTGATAAGTGATCATTGTTGAATAGATTCAAGGGTGGAAAAGGATGACATTCTAGTGTGGTTGAGTCCATACTAAATGTATGGACACTAACAAACAAACTATTAAAACATGACATTTAATTTGAGGTGTGGTTTTCAAAAGTTAAAACCGAAACCAAACCATTTCCAACTTTTCGGTTCGGTTTTAAAACCGCAAAACCAAACTGTTTGGTGCAATTCGATTTGATTCGTGTTTCAGTTTCAGTTTTTTGTTTCAAATGTCCACCCCTAATTTAATGATAAAAGGTAGATAATTTTATTGAGTATTTTGTGGCCCATTCGGTGAGGCGCTGGTTTGCCAAATTAGTATTCCTGGGTTCGATACGCAGCGGAATCGTTGTGTTATATTTTTTTAAATTCTTTTTCCTTTTTTTTTTAATGAATAAATGTTATTGTGTGTCCATAGCAATATATTTAAATTTTTTAATACATTCGATATTCCTACTAAACTATTTTGAAGAGATGAAGAGATTTTGAACTCCAAATGTAGTGAGTTGATGAGAGTTTTATGATTTATTATTGATATTCATAGCATTCAAACTCTCTTACTTTTATTTATATTATTTTAGGGTTAAATTGCGATAGTGATCTACTGATTAATACTTGTGTTTCACTTTGGTCGTAACTTCAGTTTTAAATTTGATGACCTTTTAATTGTATCACATACCCTACTTCAGTCATTATGTCAATTTCTTTAAACTGTTTCATTGTAGTTGAGTTGAACATTTTAGTCAACAATCAAATTAACAAAAGTATGACATAATAGTTAAAGTGAGTCACATAACACAATCGAAAACTATAATTATAATATACATACCACTCAGCCAAAGAAAGATGATGGAGAGTTGACTGAAATGGGCACTAAATACTTTTCGAGAGATCTCCTCCAAATCACTGGTATGGCTATCAAAATCGTGAGCATCAGCATGTAGGTTCCAAATCCAAGTGGTAATATCAGATCCTTTAGCTATTGTTCTTGAGAAATGATCCGGTCTGGCCCATTCCTCGAAAGAAGTTTTTACGGGAACCCTATGTACCAAAATTTTAACTTCTAGTTCTGGCTAACGAATAATCATTGAGTCCTCATCTTTCCAGACAACACATACAAAGAGACCTGCCAATAAATAATTAAGTAATTAGTGAACTTATAAGAGATGTTTAGACTTAGTTTTTTTCTCTTCCATCTCCCATCTATCTATTTTCTTTAGTTATAGTATCATTAAAAGCTAATTATAAAAATATGTTGTCATTTCTTAATTCTAGCTCCATTTTGTGTGCTACTGAAATTACAATGCATCACATGAATCTCTTCGACTCTCTCTTGAGCACCACCGTATCCTAAGCTTCCCACGCTATACGCATGAATATTGAGTTTAGGAATTTAATTAGCGCAGCGCTTTGTGAGAGTATTAATTTAGAGAGTTTTAACGGAACACTCCTACTACTGTTCATTTTTAATGAAAAACCATATTTTTACATTTTTCTGGTACTATTCAGTACACGTTTATTTTTCATTTTTCATTAAAACTAAAGTTTTTTTTTTGACTTTTCGTTAGTTTTCCTATTAATTTATTGGAAAACTTTGGTTATGGTCCTTGGTTGACTAAAATTTTAAGTAAAAATCTTATTAATATGATTGAATGACAAAATGGTAGTTTTTTTTGTATTAATTAAAAAATTTTAATAACAAAAAATTAGTAAACCCTTCCTAAAAGGATTAATACCAAATAGGGATTTTAAATTTTCTTTCTCAAATTTGAATTGTGTGAGCTCTGACCAGTTGGAATTATGGAGTCGTGGGTATTGATATGACTTGACGCAGAGATGTCGATTCCATCTGTGTTCGGACTATCTTCGGGTGCAAAAAATATGAAGGTTGGAGACCTCGACAGTTTGACAGTCGTTGATACTAATATGTGCATTCGGACTTTCGCCATGTGTAAGCCCACTCAGTTGAAGATTGTCACATTTGGTGGTGTGTAGAGCCCGCAACATTGATCAGTAATACAATTTTCCCCCATATCCACACTCAAATTACTCAAAAGTGTAAAATTAACCTTAATACACTCAAATTTAGAAGTGTTTGATTAAGATTTCAAGTGGTTCTCTGAAAGTCTAAGGATTTGTTTGCATGCGCTTTTAAAATGACTGAAAACGCTTTTAGAGAAAATGTTTTTTGGTTCCAAAAACACTTAAAGTGTTTTCTGCAAGAAGCACCAATTTTGTGCTTCTTCCAGAGAACACTTAATATCAGAGCCAATCCTTGGCCAGATGTGTGCTGACGAGGACGTCGGGCCCCTAAGGGATGGGTGACTCACTGGGAAGTTCTCGTGTGAGTTCCCAGAAACAAAACCGTGAGGGCATGGTCGGGGCCCAAAGCGAACAATAACGTGATACGGTGGAGTCGAGTCTGGAATGTAGTGGGGGCCTGTGCCGGGATGTCACACTTTAAGTGCTTTTCCAGAATTTACTTGCATTTTTACTAAGGATTCGTTCCAAAAATATTTTCACCAAAAGCGCTTTCAACCATTTTAAAAGCACATCTAAATGAGCTCTAAGTGTATTCAATCAGGATTTCAAAAGATTTTATAACATTGCAGGTGTATCCAATTTGAAATTGATTTAAAAAAAAAAATTTAAGTTGGGAAAATCGAGGGAATTAGAGAGATTTTTTCGTAATGTATTTTAAGCATTTTCAAATATTTATTCACTCAAAATTTTACATAGAATCTCTAAAAATCAAATAAACTCTATCAAAATTTATGGATATATAAATCCATTAAAACCCTTCAAAATCTAAATTGAATATACCTCCCAAGCATAACGAGTGAAATTTAAAACAAAAAACAATAACAAATCAAAGTATTACTTCTTTCGTTAATTCTGATATGTGTTTTTACCTCAACATTGACAAGAAGAGCTTGATTTGCATGGGTCTTTGAATGTGGTAGGTTGCAAAAGGTATGTTCTATCCCTTCTGTCGCTTCACACGCAGTATTATGATACTTATTTCATGCAAACATATATACAGTCAAGGTTGTAAATGGTTATAGGCGTTAATCGGACAGTAGGTAAGAGTCTAGCATCTAGACGTCTAAGCAAGGTCTATGCAAAGGTCTTGGCAGTTGTTTCTAATGTTAAATAAATGTATTATACAACATATAAAAAAATGTCTACTTATATTTAAAAAAAAAACATATAATTGTATCCGGATACATAAATTATACCATAAAAATGACATATAGTGAGGCGGAAATCTTTTTTTTTTTTTTTTTTTTTTTTTAAGGAAGACAACTGATAGTAAACCACAGTTATCCATCTCTTCCGGAAGCTGGAAAGACAATGAGGCAGAAATCTTGAGTTGGCGTATATCTCTCCAAATATAGAAGAAACATACCCTAACTACAAATTATAGTCTCTTATAATTAAGAAGAGGAGTTTCAACTGCATAACAGTGCTATGAAAGTTAATGTCCGTGATTAGGGCGCCTTTGCACAAATATTTCTCCTTCACAAGTGCGTAGGTCAGCTTTCGCTACCAGACATTTGACTAGTCACCCTTTGGAGTTGAACCATTCAAAAGTGCAAATCCCTAACAGCAATCCTCCACGCCAACACCAAGTCAGCCAAAGCCAGCAGGCCAAACAGTAGCAAACAAACAAACAAACAAAGAGGCCAAGTCCCACCACATGTTATGCGATGCTTCCAAGGAAACCCCATTACCCCACACTCGCCCTCCTATATTCCTCCCACCCACCTTCCCAATCCTCCCTTTTTCCACAAATGCAACTTGGAAATTTGATTTGATTAAGATCTCAATTTAATTTAGATTTAGGCGGCCACAAAGACCACCACTTCTCAATAATGTTGTTTATTTTACTCAACCATTGACCCATCAATTTAATTTAAAGCTTTATGACTTAAGTATTAAAACACCATGTGCCTTTCATGGAAAATGTTTGCTACACCGGCTCACTGTTATGTGAAAAAGTTATGGCATCTTATAACAACGCAATTGCATCTCAAGAAGATATTTTTGGAGATGCGAATGTGACGGTCTTGCAGACACACCACATACTATTTAAGAAAGTTAAAACGCACGTCAATGTGTGAATGGCTTGTTGCAATGCTACAATGACATCCACATACTTCTCAAGAAGAAATTTTGAAGATTCAACTGTAAAAATAGTCCAAGTCAATAATAAACTGCCAAAGGAGAGAGTTACAATGCATAAACCATGCAATAACACATCAAATTCCAAATAGATCCAATCCTCATTTCCTCCAAGATACAATTACAAAGAGAGGATTATGAGAATCCAAACATAGTCTTTACTCCTTAGAGAGAGAAAGTTAAAGACTTTAAGCCTTCCTCTCTCTCTCTCTCCCCTCTCTTCCCTTTTATTCCTCAAAATGGAACATCTCCCATCACCTTAATTTACATATACGTCTTTTGAGTTTTACACAAAAAAACTTCACCATAAATCAAGCAAATTAGATCAACTCACATGACTTGTATATACAAAAATTACATTCTCTCCATCTCAAAGACCCCCCCAAAAAACATTATCTTCTTCCTCCTCCTCTTGATATTTTCCCAAAGCACAAAGCCCTCTACTTTTCTCACAAAACCTTGCTTCTTCCGAAACTGAGAGGGCTCTGTTCCATACCCTTACTGTGTCTAAGCTATAGCAGAGATGCTGCAGTTCCTGCGGTCCCTGCTAAGACAATCAAACCCTTCGATCCGCACCGCGACTGGCTTGTCCCCGGATTTCATCCGGACACAGCCTCCGTTGCGCGATGACAACATGGGCTGTGTCGGCAAAAACGGAGCCATATTGCTGCTGTTGCCGAAATGCTCGTCTTGGATTACAGGATTTGATGCCCTGCTCGGCGGAGACCCGCAGAAAAACGGCGGCGACGAAGCCAATTGATTAGTACTAAACCTATCATCACAATTCCCCTGTTTTCATAAATTAACCACAAAACAGGATGAAATAATTAGCTTTTGTTCTAGGGATTTTTTCATATGTTGAAGATTCAGCTAAAACATGACAACAGAAGTAAAAATAAACTAATTCCTGCCCATAAAAAAAAAACAAATTTCAAACCACCAAACCAGAAATATAAAATGAATACAAGAAATGATTTCCGCACGCTCTTTTTCTCTGCACAACCTACAAACCACGGTTTACTTATGTCACTTTATTAGTCTGGGTGCACGGAAAAAAAGAGGTGCGCGAAAATCATTTTCTCTGAATAACGACGGCAACAAAGCCTTTTCCCGTTAAGTGGGGCCGGCTATATGAATCTTATAACGTTATTGCGCTCGGTTCTGCGTCACGTAGAAATCATTTTCTCTGAATTTTAGCTCAAAAATACATCCCATGAATATTAGCTCAATAAATTTAAGGGGAAGAGAGGAACCTTGGCGAGAATAATATCCAGAATCTCAGACCCAGCTTCAGAATCTCCAATCTCCGATTGGTTGTGACTGTTGCAGCAGCAACAACAAAAATCAAACACCCAAGAAAGAACAACCTTCGACTCGACCCACGAATTCAAACCTTAAAAAAACAGAGAAGTGTGAGAAAAAAAAAAGGTACGTACTTGAAGTATCTGAAGGGTCTGACGTTGTCGTTGAAGGATGGAGTTAGAAAGCTCAGACGACGTGGTTTTGGGCACACAACTGAATCCATCCCCTCGCAGCCTACCATGGCGCTCTGCTCGTAACCGCACCTGCTCATCATCTTCGCTTCTTCCGTTGGAGAGATCTCACCAACAATAAAGCCTGCACATCCAGATTTCATTTCATCAAAATCAACCCCAAAAACAGAATAAAATAATACAAACTTTTGCATTAAGATTTAAATATAAAATATGACTTTTGTTAAACAACCCCAGAAGGAAAAAATGGGAAATTATCGGTTTTTCTTCGTGATTTTTTAATAAGTTGCAGATCTGTTGATGGAAAAGTTGCAGAAAACTCAAGATATAAAGGGAGGAAGCAAGAACCTTGAGCTGCAGCCACAGGAGGCTCCTCCGGGAGGATTTGAGGGGAAGAAGAAACCGGGTCTGCAAAACAGAGATTTTTTCTGGGCGTCTGAGAGGGAGAGAGAGATAAGGGTTGGGAGGCTGAGTATTTATGATTCGTAGAAACAGGGGACGGAGAGAGAAAACAGAGGACGATCTATATTATGGACCGTTGGATGATGTTGAGATTGGTGATAGATGAGCTCGATTTGGTCCACGTGGTCGGGATCTCCAGCTCCTTTTCTTCTGTAATAATAGTATAATACTATAAATAATTAATTATATTCTTATTTTAACACAAGCCTGCAAAGGAAAATATCTAAATTTTAACGAAAAATTCTGTTAACGCTTATTTTAATGAAAAAATATATTTTTATATTAAAAAATTAATATTGTGATTATTTATTTTATTTTTTATATTATCTTTATTATTAAAATTCAAAGTTTTTAAAATATTTTTATTAATTTTCCTATTTATTTATAGCGAATTTCCCATTGACCAGTGCCCATTAACTCTGTGCAGTGCACTGACCAACTATTTTTTTTTTTTTTAAATTTTCTGATAAACTTAAAGAAAGATTATGATTAAGGAAACTCAAATCTTTATCTAACTCTTAAATTTGAAGTCGTGCAGATTTTCTTGTTATTTTATTTGATTGGACCAAGTTGAAATGGATAATCAACCAAAAAAGAAGATAAATGTATCTGCACGGTTTGAACAACTCTTTGGACGATGCAATGAGTCTTTAAAATAAGTGAGAAATTCAGTAACGCAGTTTTTTTTTTTTTTTTGTCCAAAAAATTCAGAAACGTTGTTTTAATAGATCATTTTTCACATTAAATATGACCATGTGAGATCAAAATATATAGTGTTCAAATTTTTATAGGGGTGTGATATTCACATACCTCTTTTTACTTATCTCACATTTTTTTAATTTTCGATCGTCTGCTCGGATGAATTGAATAAGATTAAATGACAGAAATTAACAAAGAATATGAGAAAAGTAAAAAATGATATGTAGATAGCAAATCCCTTTTTATAAAACATAACGTACAAATGACATGATCAGATTGTCGTAACCACTTTTTTTTTTCTTAAAGTGGTGCTACACCCAATAGGCGAAATGCAATTCGGGGAGCCATGAAAGTGACACAAATTACACGAACGTGGTTTTGAGTACGTTACTTTGCCAAACCTGAATTTGAAAACTATTAGCCAAAGTTTAAGGAAGCACATCAAAGTTTGACGACAAAAAAGAGGGGGTAAAAAAACATGGCAGATGATCGTTAATTAGATTCCGATGGGTTAAGGCTTGCAGAAATGGCTAATTGCAAAGGAACCTGAATGATTCCAATCCAAGTTGGAGAGGACAGACATGTCTGTAACATACAGAATGGAAGTGGGAACCACAGCTCCATACCCTTTCCTTTATGTTCGATTCTTCCACATACCACTGCCTTGGGGATGTTCGTAAAGTTAGGAGTTATATTTATTCAAAACGAATACATCGTTACGGTGACGTAATGTGTTATAAGATAAGAATAATATTAGAGAAACTAATTATTTAAACTAAATTTTATAAATCGTATAACGTGGTTGTTAACGATTAAATTATTACTTAAGTGCTAGTTAACATGTTTACTTTTTATGAATGACATATCATATAGTTTATAAATTTGGTCTACTAGCATTACTCATAAAATAAAAATATATGTAAATTTTTATTCATATGTCATTGTTCCATGACATGGCGTCATTTAATGACGTACCAGTGCTATGTATGTTATTCTAGTAATACACCCTTTTTTTTATATTCAGGATCTTCATCTTCACTTCATCATCGATTCAAACTCTCCACGCTCCCGTTAATGAGTATTAGTGTAGAAAATATCTTGTACTTAAAAAAAAAAAAAAAAAAAAAAAAAAAAGTTTAATTTGGTTAGTATTTTCATCATTATTTAAGGGCCTGATAGGCCTGTACAATGTCTTGGGTAGGCTTAAGCACGGCCCACTAAACTAGATTAAGGGCCTGATAGGCCTGTCTCTCTACGTTTGAACTCGATCTTCGGCGCAACGCCAATTCCAGATGGAGATGATGTTTCAGAAGACAGAGGCAGATGGTGTGGCCGGGGACAACCTTGGCAACCAATAGTTTGGTAAGTAGTTTCTCAAGCTTTTGTTGTTATTTTTATTATTTCAATCTTCTGAAATATATGCGTAAGTGATACGAACCATATAAAGAGAGATTGGAATTCCCAAACCCTAGTATGCATTATACTGTTAGTTAGCAAACAAAACAATGATTGATTATAATTTATATGATAAATTAAGGAGAGTGATAGGGTTGATGGCGCAAATTCGTGCAGCTGATATCAGATTATTGTTGCGTATGAATTATAATCAGGTATCAGTTACGATTGACATCATGTGCACAAGACTAACTTTAGCTGTTCTAATTGTAATGGATTAAGGAACACATTCTTGTTTTGATGTTGTAGTGACGAGATTTTCAAATATACTCCGAGCTATGTCATACTACAAAATTTTCAGCAAATCATATCTATGACATTTCATATTTGAGATTATATTTCAAATTTTTATGCGGTAATTAACTAAGTATAAAATGAATATATTTCCTTTGCCCAACTACAATAGTCAATCGGACATTACCTTTAAAAAAAGTCATGAAATCTCAATGTAGCTCCACCCTCCAGATCCAAAAATCTTAAAGATGTTGATTTATTAGACTTTATTTATTTTTTTCATCCCCCAACTAAGTGGGTCCTAAACCCTAAATTAACCACAAATATATGACATAACCCTAATCCCTTGAATGTACCATGTGCTACCTTTTTTTATTCCACTTCATCTTCATCATGTGTTTGCAGCAGCCTTCTTGCTATTCTTCCTCTTCAGTCTTCTCTTCTTTTGATTCAGCTCAAATCCCTGCTTGTAGATAAACCCTTAAAAAAGCTAAAGCTAAAGTTCCTCATGTCTCTATCTCTTCATGTTCCTTCTCTCTCTCCTAACATTCTTTCCTGGATTCCAAATCTTCAAAGTCCATGTCACCTTCGTGTGCTTATTACTTTGATATGTAGTTATAGGCCCTACCTCCATAACATAATATTATATATTAGAGTGGTATTTACAAAAGGGTACCTGCTGCTGGGTGGGTAGGATATTCATTCATTCTTTGCGCAGTCATGCATGCACATTCATGTCACGATGTCTAGTCATAAAGGCAACACAATGGTGGTACGTGGGTCATTGTGCTGGGAAGAAAAGTGGGGAGGAATCTCTTTGGTATCTTTTCCCATCCAGAACTCTCACTTTGCTCATCTTTGCTTCGCACCAATGTAATTGTTCTGCATTTAGATCGGTCATTCTCAAAACCCTAGATACCAGTTTTAGGTCAATTAGACCCATCAGTATCTCCATCTCTTCCTCCACCTTCAAGCTTCGCTTTCTCAGGCATTTGTGGGAACGTCGAAGATCTTTGATTTTCATCTTCTTCTGCTCATGAAATTGGGAGAAGTAAGAATATATTTGAAAATTATTATACATTAACTTAAAAGAACGGACGTGCATTGATATTGTTAAGAATGTATCAATCACATGTTGGTACGCTTTTACAATAGTAATATTGACATTATTAATGACATATCCACAATCAGTTTTAATAAAGGATTTACGTTCTGGACTATATTTGGTATTAGTATTATCGATATTACTATTGACATATCGACTGTCAGTTCTTTAATAAATGATGGACTTCCATTCTAGATTCTATTTGGTATGGTAATAAATAATGATAACATAATCAAGAATTGTGATACACACACACACACACTAACTTACTTTTTGATTTACTTTCTTCATCAGATGGAGAAGAGTGGGATCAACTGAACCTTTACGTTTTCTTTTGAACATGGATGCTAATTTCTGGCAGGGTTTTATCTTATCAGCCTTGAGAAAATCCATGAACGTTCGGATTCCGTCTTCCATTATCATTAAAAATGCAGCTGATGAAATTTTTGAGCCAAAACCTTCGTCCTTTTCATGCTCACCATCTTCTGAAACTTAAGACATAGAAGTCATGCATTAGTTAATTAACTTTGTTTGATCCCTAGACATTTTACATATCTTTGGTACAACTTTAAAAATCCTATCATGTAACATTGATCAAATTTTTAAAGAATAAGAGTGAATTAAAAGAAGTTAAAGTACAATTCCTCTGCAGATGTACCTTGATATTCTGGCACTTGAAGTAACTTTGGTGCCAAAAGCCTCATCCTGGCATAAATCTCTGGCCTCCTGCCTTGTTCATAAGGCTCATTCTCTACATATCTTCGTAGAAGCACTTGAAATTGCTGAAATTGCTGTGCTAATTCGCCAGGAACGCCGGCATCAAACTGATCACGTCGTGATGCCCTTTTTTGCTCAAAATTCTTGTAGTTCCAATTAAGTGCTTCCCATGTTAAGCAAATTTGTGCAACGTAAGCAGCCTCCAGCTCATGATAAGGGTTGTGACGTACATCAGGCGGCCTTTTTGTTGCCATAGAGATTCTATGAACTATCCTTTCCGAAATTGATCTTGGACAAACTTGAATAGACTTAAGTGATTCTAAAATAAAAATATAGCACGTATAATGTCCGCTTAAGATATTAATAAAACAAATCATTACAAAAAGGAAGAAAATAGAGCTAAATTAAACTAAATTTAAAATTACCTGTTTCATGGAGCTTTTGGGCACTAATTCTGTCTAAGAACATCATTTCTTCATCATACTTTTGGAAGACTGTGTAAGACTCCCATTTGGGGCAGCTTCTCCGGGACGAGGAGGAAAAAGGATCTTCAGTGGCAGAATCCCTGCAGTTAATTGAGCTTCTCCATTCAGAAGAGCTCTTAGAAGTTGATCCAACGGTTGAGTCACCAAAAATTTCATCCTCTTTATTGTCTTGAACTTGGAACTTCTTGTTCTTCAATTGTGATGGCCCATAAACAACAAAATTTTCGTCACCGGATAAATGCGTCTGATCTGCCCTATTGATTTCAGTGTTGTGTTCATCACAATTATCTGTATGATCAAATAACATAAGCAATGTCAGGCTGCAGATAGTACAAGTATTAGAAGTACATCATGTGAC